CATCCTCCCCCACAGACCTCCCAACTCGTGGGCATCAACACAGTTCCTAGTCTTGCTGCAAAGAAACCCAGCATATCCACTTCCTTTATGAAGCTTGTTGGCTCTAATAACTATATGCTGTGTGCCGCTTTCCCCAGAGTATACAAAAGAGTATTGCTTGTACTGTACTCTTTCCTGTCCCTGTTACCTCTAGGGCCTTATATTGTTTGTTCTGGAAGAACATGATTTCATTACTGTCAGATGATTTCTGTTCCTTGTAAAGCACTTATTGGTGTTACCTTGGGGTACTGCGTAAATAATACAAATCTCACAATGCCTCTTTGATGAGAGGACTTAAACCCAACCAGTGTCCAAAAGCACCTTGAGTTCTATCTCAGTAATTGCTGGAAGAAAACCATATCTGTCAAGAAAAAGGAGAAGATTAATGTATAGAAAGGAAGCTGTGACGTTGCTATTGTCCCCCAAAAATAATGTATACCAAAAAAAATGTATCTGAGTGAAAAAGAAATTCAGTGGGCCTTATAGGCAGCTTAGCATAAAAACTTCCACAGCTATAGAAACATTTCTCAAGGACATATTGCACTGTCATCATATAAAAGCAACAATTTAATTGCCACCTTTGAACCTTTGCTCATGCAAGTTTCACTTAGCAGAAATACTAATGTACTTCATTTTTGATGAAAATACTCACTACAGAGTCTAGAGAATTAATTTCAAATAAGATCTATATTTATAAATACATAAGTACAAAAAATAATAAACTGATGTATATGTTTCTAAGAGCATAATTTAAATGATTGTTGCTTAACCCTCAAATTATTTTTAAGAAAAAAACTTGAATACCTATCATTAATTTGAATGCACTTGATACTTTCACAAAATGTAGAAATTGAATATCACAGAAACATGTGTCCCTTTTTTGCATGTTACTTCCTTTAAGTGGTGAAAAAAGTTCTGATATTCAACATCCACATTTTATTTTCAACAAGAATCAGAAAACTGTCAAAGGCAAACTGTTTTCTATCATACAAATGACTTGATCACAGATAATAAAGTTGCAGTAACCTCAAAGCCTAAATAACCATGTAAATGGGTTCTCTGTTCCATGAGACAGATGGTGGATCACATCAGAGATGGGTTATGAATTCCAAAAAGATTGTCCTTTAGTATATAACAAAAAATAACAGGAGAAGTAGATTTAAAATATAAAGTAGAAGCAAAATAGAAAAGTCACATCAATTTTTAAGAGATCAAGAAGACATAAATGGAGAACATATAGCTTATATTAGAACTACTCTGGGAAGAAAATCATTTTGAAGTATCATGCATATGTTAACAGAAGGAAGTTGGAGTGTATTTCAACAAGATGAATAACGTTATCTGCTTCATTATATGTCATGTCCAAAATTGTATGAAACTGTAGCCTACTATGTCTACCAATCATCTATCACTTGCTGCTGGCCCAGAGGTATGCTTACCAACCCTAGTCACTGTTGGGGATTCTTAACCTCCTGTTTCTAGATCTTAGCTGAATAATATGTGAATTAGAGACTATTATGGAAAAGAATTAGGTCTAATTAAGGAGATCTTGGATTTCAGTAGGACTCAAAAGAGCCCAGATTAAGATATAGACTACCTTATCTAGGTAAGGATCAATAGACATCATCTATCAAAAGGCCATTAGTAAATGTCCAGGAAGGCATGGGCAAGTACAGCTTAGCAAAAAAAAAAAAAAAAAAAAAAAAAAATCAGTAGTAGTAATTTCAATATTGAATCCTTTGATATGTATTCTCAGGTCATTTGGCTATATTATTTTATTTGTATATGTACACACACACACACATCATCTGCTCCTACATGCATTTCCAACCTCATCTCCTACCAATCTCCCCCTGCTTTTCTTCTGCATTCCAATTTAGCTAGGCTTCTCTCAGAATGTCAGGCTCTTTTCTGACTCAGAGCCTTCACACCTGTTCTTCCCTCTGCTTAGGTCCTCTTCCCCGTTAACCAGTGTAATGCCTATTAAGGCTTCAAGTCTCCTTTAAATGTTATTTCCCCTAGTACAGCTTCATAGAAGCTTGCAGCTTTTCTTCAATATGTTAATCCTGGTGTGCTTAATTGTAACTTCCGTGTCTTGGGTAAATGACAAACTTCAAAAGAAGAGGGAATCTATTTTTCTCAAACTGTATTCCTAATGACTAGTATAGTACCTGGCTCATGGGAATGGCTCAATGAAGGTTAGTTGAATGAAAGGACAAATGAAGGATTTTTTTGGTGAGTAGTGTTATCTGCACACTTCAAAAAATCCTGCTGCTATATATGCAAAGACCAATGCGGAGGGGCAGAAAAGGAAGGCTCTTTTAGATACATTATTGCCTTGCTTCATTTACTCCTGGATCCAAATGCAAACCTCAAGGCTTTCCCTGTGGATATTTTGGTGACTAAGAAAAGTAACAAATGCAAGGTTTAGAATTTTGGAGTAGTTAAGAACTAGATGTCTCTGGCTTAGTCTACCTGGAGAGGGAAATTAATTTGCTCCATAAGTCTTTAGTGGTGTGCAATGGAGACCACAGGCACCATGGGAGAAGTAGATCCCCCCTACCCCAACACACAGACTATGACCAAGTGGCAGATAACAGAGGGTCTTTGTGAGACCTGGAGTGATTTCATGGGAGACTTCAAGTATATTTTAATCTATTTCTATATAGGTTTGATGATTATTAAAACTAGTCCAGTGTGGTCATAGTACTTAAGAGAGGAGCCCCTGCTCTTAGGAATAAGGTAACTTCAAGAAAGACCATCAAAGTAAATCATGATCAGTGGAAGGTCTGAGTAACCCCAGATAGATCGAAAAGGGCAAGTGTTACTATAGTCAAGGTATATTGTCAATAGGCAGTGTGTTATACATTGTGAAAGACTACTTCATTGAGCCCTGATGCCTTATAAACAGACCTATCAGACAGTTCTGGTCAAAACTGGATTTCTGAGTTGGCATAGTATTAACATTCATGCATGGTTTCACTTCTGTTCCATATACTACCAATAAATTTGAAAAATACTACACCTATATCCCCTCTTTGGAGAGTCCGAATGTGCATAGCATATTGATGGGCAGTTCTATACTAAAGAAGTCCTCAACTCATATGACCATGAAAACTTGTTTTTCAGAAAACATTTATGTGCCAATAAAGATAGCCTTGGTAAAGCTGCTGTATCAATCTCTAACTTTCAGTGGCTTAAAATAACAAGGTTTATTTCTATCACTTGCTACATATCTATTGTTGGTTGACTGGAGATCATGTGCCATGTGAGCCTCACTCTGGGATCCAAGGTGTCAGAGCAGTCACTACCTAAGTATTTCTACTTGGTCTAGCAGAGAGGAGATAAGCTTTGGATGTTTTCACAGTGAAATGTTCTAGTCTGAAAGTGACATTTGGAATTTTGTCTCATAACTTATTGATCAGAACTAGTCACATGGCCCCACCTGACCACATGCCTAGAGAGTAGACAAAGAGGAATATTCAGTAAACAGCACTGACAACTAAACCTGTTAATCTGACTGAACTAACGGTCATTGAAATACAGTTAGAAATCACTGCTATTCATGGTTCTAAAAATAAGAATAATAATTACCATTCAAGAATGATCAGCACCTATGCCATATTAATCAGGAATAAGAAATGGAAAGCTGACTTTTTTTTTTTTAACGCTTATCTAGGAGGAAGAAGGGTGTCACCAAAAAACCCACAATTATTTTGGAAGATTTTATTAAAACAATTGCTTTTTACTTTGTAGTCTCCAGTGGAATTTCCACAACGGATAATGATCATTTTCCAGCCAATTCTTCATTGCTTCTCTCAAGCACAAATATAAAATAGAAAGCATGGATAATTCCACAACACAGCCTATTTCTAGGCTACCAGAGGGGTGTATACCATAAATGCCCATTTATAGCATCTTCTTCACAGATGGGCAGTTAATGCTATCATCAGATAAATCTTGTAATAAGATCAATAAAGTTTGCATAGAATTCACCTATAAAAAATTAAGTGTATTTTGTGCTACTATCATAACCTCTGAAAATTAATTTCTGATAAGTTTACCAAATTAAACTTTCTGGTGCCTTGGTATCTTGCATATTTGGCCATATCACACAATAATAGCACAAAATGACAGAGATGATGCTCAGAAACAAGAAATAATAATGGTTTTGAGATGTTATTACCTGTATACCAAGCACAATGAAGGCTCTTATCAGTGGATATTCAAAAAATCCTTAATTTATTTTTTTCTGTGAGAAATACAGGGCAGTTAAATTTATATCATTTACTCAGCCATGTCCAAGTTCCACCCCACCTCCTCTTTACAGATTTCTTACCTACAATCATAATTACATTACCTAAAATAATGTAAAATGCTTTGAGTGATGTTTGGCACATAGTAGTTACTGAGTGTTGGTGGTGGTTGTTGCTGTTATTATTATTTCATGTCTTATAAGTGATGCTTTGTATGTCACACACTCTGCAGAAATTCTAAAGTATGATTAATATTAATAAATTCAACCCAGCACTCTCAGAAGATAGAAAGTCTAATATGTAAAACATCTTCTCTATTACATTTTTCTTATTTGGGACAAAACAGGCAAATCACCTTAGAAATGATCAAACTGGAAAAAAAAGCAATGATCAAACTGATTAAAAATGTGTTTAGAATATTATGTGTGTATGTACCTATAGGTAAATGTGACAAAGTAATTACCTGAAATGGCAAATGTGGAGAACAAATTAAAATTATTTTTGATAACTCCATCACAAAGATACACTGACTAAAACAGCCCCTTCTCATACCACACACTGACTAAGCACATTCTCATATTACATTACATTTAGACTGTGGAAATCACTTGCAATATTATTAAAGTATTTCACCATATATTTTATTTTTATAGTAATGAATCTGATATTCTCTACTCTTTTGGTTTCTTATATATCATCCATACATCATTCATTCCATTCACTTAAAGCATCATCTTCATTTCCAGGTATTTCTGTTGGTGACTGGTCAAGAGAAGTTGAATCTTTGTATCTCATTGAACTCAGTTCAGACTGTATCTCAGTTGTTGAGGCTTTCTCCCCCCAGAAAGACTTGACTGCCCCCCTGGAGAAAAAGCAAAAACAAAACAAATATCCTTTATGAATTGAAAACCGAAACTAAGTAGGTATATATAATTTTCTGCATATAGAAATGTGTCTTTAGTTATGATATTTTTAGTTTGTGGTGTATCAGCTACATTTGTGATAGTAGATGAATCCTCAGGCTGTATCAGGGTGTAAACTCATATAAATATTAGAAATATTCTTTCAAAAAATTAATTAGTAGTTTATACCAATCAAGTTTTAGAGTTGTGAGAACTACAACTGAACATACATATTCATTCAAAACATTTTTGGGGGGGATCCCCGGGTGGCTCCGCGGTTTAGCACCTGCCTTCAGCTCAGGGCATGATCCCGGAATCCCGGGATTGAGTCCTGCATTGGGCTCTGTGCATGGAGCCTGCTTCTCTGCTTCTCCTTCTGCCTGTGTCTCTCTGTCTCTCATGAATAAATAAATGAATAAATAAGACCTTTAAAAAATATTTTTTTTGCAATTACCATGTGAAATTATAAAAATTGCACTTAAAGCTCTCTCATGGTGAGAAGCAAGTCATGATCTTAGGTAGCCTGAAGCAGAATAGTTGCAGGAGGTATACAGGGTGTTGGACTATTTCAAGACATATATGGGGGGTGTTATGGACAGGCCTTTGGGTTCATCAAACAAGAGGGGTGTGCCAGACAAGGAGGACATCAAGTAAGGGTGATGACTCAGTTCAGTCCTTCACCTACCAGTTTATAATTATGAAGATCAGTATAAAGATCACGAATATACAGATAACAACTCCTATGGTCAGCACAAAAACTAGGACTGCATCAGTGTCTGGTCGAGCTGATCTTTTCATTTGCAATTCTAGAGAAAAAACACACATCTGATGATTATTACTACTGGAAAAAAAAGATATCTAAATAGAAACTTTATATATAAAAATTAACTCTAGAAAAACACAGAAAGAATGAAAAGAAAGTTACTAATAAACTTGCTCATGAACTCTGAAATGTCCTTTACAAACATGCAGAAAATTTGAAATAATTTAACACCGAACATTCTGTATTCCCACCACCTAGATACTACCATCAACACTTTACTACCCATCTATCCATCCTCCTATAAATCCATTCATCCATCTTATTTTTTCAATGCATTTCAACATTATTTGCTAATGTCTGCATACTTCCCCCGAAAAAACTTCAAAAGGTGTATCATCAACCAGAGTTCAATACTTGTTTATATTTTTTCTTTTGAGGTAAAATTTTCGATGAATTGCACAAAGATTTTAAATGTACATTTATTTAGTTTTGGCAAATGCAAACGCGCATATATAATTCAAACCCTCTGAAGTCACAGAATATTGCTATACCCCATCAATTCCCTTGAGTCCCTCCAGGTAATTTCTGCCCCATCCTCCAGAGGCAACTACCATACTAATGCTCTTTTCCACCACAGATTAGTTCTGCTTGTTTTAGAACTTTATAGGAATGGAAAGATATACTATATATTCCTTCATGTGAGGCTTTTTTACTCAGCCTGTTTTAGAGATTCACCAGAACTGCTGCATACATCAATATTTTTTTCTTTTTTTATTGATGAGTAGTATTCTAATTTGTTTATTCATTCTTCTACTGATGAACAGGTAGGCTGTTGCTGCTTTAAGCTATTATAAATAAACTGCGATGAACATTTTTTTAAAAAATTTTATTTATTTATGATAGGCACACAGTGAGAGAGAGAGAGGCAGAGACACAGGCAGAGGATGAAGCAGGCTCCACGCACCGGGAGCCCGACGTGGGACTCGATCCCGGGTCTCCAGGATCGCGCCCTGGGCCAAAGGCAGGCGCCAAACCGCTGCGCCACCCAGGGATCCCCTGCGATGAACATTTTTATGCAAGTCATCTGCAAACACGTATTTTCCTTTTCTTGAATAAATATCTAAGAGTGGAACTCCTGGGTCATAGGGAAGAGGTATTCTTTAGTTTACTAAGAAACTGTAAGATCTTTGCCCAAACTGATTATAATGGTTATATAAGTTTTGTGAATTTTTTTCTCCCAGGTTTTGGCTTGCCTATTCATTTTTCTAATGATTTTTTTAATGAGCTAAAGTTTTTAATTTTAATGAAGCCTAATTTATCAATGTTCCCTTTTATGGTGATTGTTTTCTGAGTCATAGCTAAGAAACCCTAGCCTACTCCAGTATCATGCAGATTTTCCCCTATGTTTCTTTTCTAAAACTTTATGTTTAAAGTTTTAATTTTTACATTTGGAACTATGACATCTCAAGGCACCACCTGCATGGCTCAGTTGGTTAAGTGGTCTGCCTGTGTGCCTTCCGACTGCAACTTCACCATCACCTGACATGCTCAGATCATGATCCTAGGGTCCCAGGGTCCTGGGATTGAGCCCCGAGTCAGGCTCCCTGCTCAGTGGGGAGTCTGTCTCTCCCTCTCCCTCTGCCCCTACACTCCCCTACCTCTCGACCCCACCCCCCAGTCGAGCTCTCACTACTCTCTCAAATAAATAAATAAAATAAAGGACTATCATATATCTTTAATTTTTATATGTTGTAAGATAGAGCTTCAAGTTTATTTTTATACAAATATCCACACAACACTTTTAAATTAGACATTCTCTCCCATATCTTTCTGCTCTTCCTGAAAATAAGGCTATTAAAGAGACGAAGCCAGTCTACCATATGCATTATAACACTGCTATACTATAAATTGGTGAAAAGCCAATTACATCAAATACTATTTATTTTACCAATTATATAGCTTTCTTATGGTTCTTCCTAGCCCTCAAAATCATAGGATCATAAAGAATTCATGTGGAGAAGGACCAGAGAGATCACTGGATACAATTATTGAATTACACTGATAAGTAAACCAATGTTCAGGGAGGTTTAATGATTTGTGCAAGCGATGTTTTATATATTGCAATATTTTAATTTTGGTAAGTACCCCTCTTTCAGAAGTAGTTTCTTTTGCATGGGCAATCTCATCTGCTTATTTGTCTGAATTTTTTTCCTATTTTTAAACACCATGGAGTATAATTTTTCATTCTCCTTACTAATTCTAGAGCTGTAAATTCAATTGGTGACCTCACTAAATAGTCCCAAGTATTATAGAGAAATCACATCATATATTCCAACATTGTTGGATTTTTAAAATCTTTGTTTTTGATAATTTTGGATTTACAGAAGCAGTGAGGTTTTTAAAGCTCAAATGAAAGATCCCTTTTAGGATTAAAACCTTAGAAGAAATGCAAAATTCCTTTCCATTTTTTCATTACTCTGCAATACTAGCCAAGAGGATGAAGAGTGAGAGGTATAAAGATTTTACTTTATTTCAAGAGCAGTCTTCTTGCAAGGATCACTTTTATATCTAGATTACTTTTATACCTAAAAAAAATAGGCTGCATTTCCTATTGAAATTTCTTATTGAAAAACAGGATGGATTTCAATGTTCTGACTTCTTAGAAAAATGAAGCTTATGTTTGCATTTGTTTTCTAGGGCCATGATAGCAGAGTACCACAAACTGGGTGACTTAAAAGCAACAGACAATTTATTTTCTCATAGTTCTAAAGGCTAAAAGTCTGAATGCAACGTGTTGGTAACACCCTGCTCACTCCAAAGGTTCTGGGGGTGGATCCTTCCTTTCTTCTTCCTGCTCTTTGTAGCCGCAGATGTTCCCTGGCTTGTGGCAACATAACTCCAATCTTTGTCTCTGTTTTCACATGACTGTCTTTTCCCTGTGTGTCTTTCTGTCTTCATATGACATTCTCTTCTCTCTCATTCTGTGTTTGTGTCCAAATTTCCCTCTTCTTATAAGGACACCAGTCATAGTGAATTAAAGGCCCACTCTATTCTAGTATGTATGACCTTATCTTACCCAAACAAATTATATCTGCAACGATCCTGTTCCCATCACAGTCACATTCTGAGGTTCTGGAAGTTACGACTTGAGAAGGGAGAGACAATTCAATCCATAACAATGCCTAATTATAAAGACAACTATTGTGGAAGTGAAAAATCTGATGTATAGGGGTGGATGGGAAATTTTCATTAACTAAATCATATTTACCCTAAAGATATTTTAATTGTGGGTACTTGTTTCAGGTCAGTACCATACTGTGTTGACATTTATAGACAAAATAGTTGTTTTATGTCCAAATAGCCAAAAGGGTCTGTCACAGGGGTATTCACAATTGTCACTTTCTAAAAGAAGCTAATAGATACCAAAGTACTCTAAAAGCATTTTGTCATTTAACTAGACCATGTACTGAGATGGCAAAGCTAACCCATCAGCGTTGGACTGCTACAAGAGAGAAGTCAGCTTTGTCTCATTTAAGGGCTAACACTTCAGGGTCTGTCTCTAGCCCTTAGCTTACACACTATCAAATGCATATTGACTTCTACAAAACAAACTGAGGGTGGCTGAAGGGGTGGTGGGTGAGGCGATGGGGTAACTGGGTGGCGGGCATTAAGGAGGGCTTGTGATATAATGAGCACTGGGTGTTACATACAACTGATGAATGACTGAACTCTACCTCTGAAAGTAATAATACATGATATGTTAATTAACTGAATTTAAATAAAATAAAATAATTTTTTTAAAAGACTTCTTTTTTTTTATAAAGATTTATTTTTTATTTATGATAGACACACACAGAGAGAGAGAGAGGCAGAGACACAGGCAGAGGGAGAAGCAGGCTCCATGCCGGGAGCCCGACGTGGGACTCGATCCCGGGACTCCAGGACCGCGCCCCGGGCCAAAGGCAGGCGCCAAACCGCTGAGCCACCCAGGGATCCCCAAAAGACTTCTAATCAAAAGAAGAGCTATGGTCCTAACAAGGACTAGGCTGTGGGGACAAAAACTGAGAATGGCCCCCAAAACTTTTATTACTCTAAACTAGTACTCACTGAGATATTTTTTAGTTTGATGGGGTTTGATCCTTTCTTGCTTTTTTAAGCATTTTTTTGAAATTATCCTTTTACTAATACTTGATATCTCAACATGAGATTATTAGCTTTCACCATAAATATTTTTTAAAGACAGTAAACACATTAAAGAAAGTTGTAGTTTATTCTTAAAAGTCATGCCTTAAACACTTTAGCTTATTTCCATTTTAATAAACAGTGTTATGCTGTATGGTATCTCTAAACTATAGCATAAATTCTTTACTTGGGATTCAGAAAAAGCTTCAAGAAATCCATGGATTCTATTAAAATAACAAGTAGTTTTTGGCAGGTTTGTTTATGTGGGCATTTCTTCTGGGGAAAAGCCTCCTGAGTTTTGATTTGATTCTCAAAAGAACTTGTGACCAAACCCCCTCATTACCTCAACAACAATGACAACTATAATAAAAATGGCTAAGAGCAACTGAACAAAAGGAAATAACTGGATATGTTATACATCATAGTCTAAACTGAAAGGACATGCACATGGAACCATTTTGCAAGGGAAGCATAGTTTCTAACATGTAAAATTATGTTCAGGGCAAGATTTGTCTTTTGTAACATATATTGAGGACTGTATTCTTGTTTCATCAAAAAATATTTTCTTCAAATGAATAATTTTTAAAGATCCATGTTTTGAAATAATGTTTCTTAATTTTATTATTTTACTGTATCAAAAATTTTGTAAGCATCTATGAGAATTCCATGTATCCTTTCACTTTTGTGACAGAAGTGAGAGAATATAGTTCAAGTTAGAGGACTGCCTTTGGAGATGCTTCAGGAATGCACCAGTTTCCCAAAGGGAACCACATCTGACTCTATATTGTGAAAAGGAAATTAAGTACCACCTTGTAGAAAGTCTAAATGATAAACACCAGTGGTTTTCCAAAGGTTGTCCCTGAGCCAGCAACACATGGGAACTTGTTAGAAAGGCAAACTGCTGTGCCAGCCCCACCCAAGATCTAGTGAATCAGAAACTCTGGGAGTGAGGCTATCAATCTATTTCAAGAAGCCCTCCAAATGATTTTGATGCTTTTTAAGTTTGATATAAGCAAACCAAAATATAACTGGGCACTTACCACTTGTTGTATAGACTGTGAATTTAACTGTTGCTATTATTTCATTATTATCCAAGGTGGCACACTCAAAAATCAAGGGGTGAACTTCCCTGCGTACTTCCAGGATTGCTGAATCATTTGCAAGGATAATGGGTTGCTATTTAAAAAGGAAAAAAAAGTGCCAACATTCTTCACGTATACTTAAGATCAGGAAACAATTTATTTCCCATAACAAAAGAATAGTCATTGTCTCTCAGTCTAGGACAGTAACTGATTATGCACATGGATTTAGAGTCAGACAATCCCGACATTAAGTACTAACTCTAAGATTTCTGCCTGTGTGACTCTCTGCTTCTCAATTACTTATCTGTAAAATGAGTGTAATGGTAAGAATTATCTCATAGATTGGTATCTGGGTTAAAACTTTGCTTCCAAAATAGAATACTTTATATAAAAGGGATGTTTTTAAGTTCAGATAATAGCTGACCCCAAGACATATGTAAAGTTTTAGCCCCACTTAATAATGCAATTATTGCATTATTAAAATTAAATTAAAATCTCAATAATAACAAGGTTATAAGATTTTTAACTTCATTTTTGCAAACTGCTTCTAAAAAGAAAGTTTTCTGATAGCCATCAAGTACTGGGAAACAAATTTTATCGCTCACTAGAAAGCACCACATTACATACATTCATTACTTACTTGGTCTGGCCTTAGAAGTTTCCAAACATATTTGAAACGATTTACAGGAGATATATGAACACATGCCAGTCTAACACTGTCAAGACTTTCTGTAACTGGTCTACCCCCTAAAAACAAGAAAAATTAAATACATATATACCATTAGGCATTGTAAGTTGCTTTATACAAAGACTACTTTTAAAGGCCACTTTTTTAAAAAAATTTTATTTATTTATTCATGAGAAACACACACACACACACACACACACACACACACAGAGGCAGAGACACAGGCAGAGGGAGAAGCAGGCTCCATGCAGGGAGCCTGATGTGGGACTTGATCCTGGATCTCCAGGATCAGGCCCTGGGCTGAAGGCGGTGCTAAACCGCTGAGCCACCCGGGCTGCTCTAAAGGCCACTTTTGTGGGATGCCTCAGTGGCTCAGCAGTTGAGCACCTGCCTTTGGCTCAGGGTATGATCCTCCGGTCCCAGATGGAGTCCCACATCTGGCTCCCTGCATGAAGCCTGCTTCTCCCTCTGTCTGTGTCTCTGCCTCTCTCTGTGTGTCTCCCATGAATGAATAAATAAATAAAATCTTTTTTTTTTTAAAGCCACTTTCAGTTTAACATCAATTATATGCTGGAAGTTATCAAAATTATTATTGAGAGTTTGAGTGCAGAAGAATAGAGAGGAGTGAGTGGATGCAAAGTAAAATCATCAAAAGAAGCAGGTGGAAAATACCATAGCTGTGTGGTCCTTTGGCAGAATAAATAGCAAGGGCATCCAACTTAGTGATCTATTAGATTAAACTTTGAGATCTGCCAGTGACTTTCAATTTACTGGTTAGAAACCCCCACTAGAGATGATGAAATCTCAAAGTAATGTGATATTATATAGAAAAGCTTACAAACTTACCAATTTAAAGTCTGCCAATCTACTAATAAAATGTCATTACCAAAGTGTCAAAGGTGTTTCACTATAGATTAGCTTTGACCACAGACCTTGAGTATAATAAAGTTCCAGTGTATTACAGAGACTATATGTTAAATTTTAAACAACACTGAAGAATGTAAAGGAAAAGCAGAAAAGTACTCAGAGCTATAATTGTCTAGGTAAGTGGAATTTTAAGTTTTATCATAATTTTCTTTCAGTATATCAATTGATCAATTCCTTCCACCCATGGCAACCTGAGGTTAAAGCTATTTCCCCAGAGTAAGCCCTTCCCCTCCAACTCCTTCCAATGCAGAGTCCAACTCACAGCCACAATCTACGGGTCCACGGCATTCTTCCACTCGTACAATGCACTTGGATTCACCTCCAGGGCATCCATTTGTTAGTATAACTTCTCTAATACCAACACCTTTGGTAAAAGAAATCAGCAAATGTTAAGAAAAATTAATTCTACTTTCTTTACTTTTCCACCTAGGTCTTTTTTGAGACTTTTTTTCTAATTTTAGAAATTCCTAAATTCAGAGTGATGACACTTAGAATTTTTATGCCCCTCATTTTACTTCATAAAACAGCATTTCCCAAAGTGAGTTACATGAAACACTAGAATTTCCTCTAGTTATATGAAAAAGGATTCCAAAATTATATCCATTTGAAAATGATAAATTAAAATTAAAGGGTCTTCTTTATTACAGAATTTTGGGGGAACTTTTTTACTATGCTAGTAAATTAATGTGCTATTATGTATAAACTTTCATAGACCTAAGATGTAAAATTTTTATATTTTAACATCTTTGAAATGAGAAATCAGAACTTATCTTAGATTGACAGCATGTGACAAATTGGTAGCATTTTTCCTTTTTAGAGGTGCAAAAAATATGCTTCTCACAGCTAACAAAAGTCTTAGATTTGATGAAATATAGTAGTAAACAGGATCTCCCAAATTTGTCTGGCCATGGAAGTTTTAGAAGTGGTTTTGGAGCACTGAAGGACTTTCCAAAAATCACATTTTAAAACATAAATGATGCTTTTTAATATTTAGATTAGTAAAGTCTCTGTATTAAATATGAGGACAAAGTATTAATGACCAAATCTCAATTTCTAACAAATAGTGTCTTGAGAATTACCACACTTTTTTTACCACAAGAAATCAACTCTCTACTAACAGATCTCAGATCTCCACTGGGTTTGCCTTTCATCACCAGAATTGAGGAACATGATAAAATGCTCTATCAGTGACATGCTAAACATGTCCTAGGATAAGTGACCTATGATATGACTGTGTAGCCACAGGCTAAGGAACAGTCCATCTTGATTTCCTTTTCTACCAGATTCCCTCTTTCAGCCCCTAAAGATGTTAATCACAAAACCCATTCTCAAGGGCAAGGGAGAGTTGAAGTCGAGAGATGACTTACAACAGTGGTTCTCAAACTTTAGAGTGCATGCAATCACCTGGAAATCTTATTAACAGGCAAATTCTGATTCAGTAGGTCTGGAGTAGGTTCAGAGATTCTGCATTTCTAACAAGCTCCCAGACGTTGCTGATGCAGCTGGTCTGTGGACCAAACTTTGAGTGGCAAGGGAGAGGACTCTACATGAGATAAGGAGATGAAAGGTTGGAAGAGGAAAGATCTCTTTTTAATTTTTTTCAATTTTAAGTCTACTATAGTTAACATATAGTATTAGCTTCAGGTGTACAATATATTGATTCAACAATTCTACACATTACTCGGTGCTCATTATAAATGTACCATTCGAGGAAAGATCTCTTGATTAATAAGAGATGCCTAAGAATGGCTGCAGTATAGCTCCGCTTGAATTTGTGAAAGGTACCTCTCTAGATGCACAGGCTTATTCTAAAATGCACAAATATTTTCCAAGCAAGCTTATTTGTGAATTTATTTAGCCAAATACAGTTCATTGTGATGACATGTGTAGGTGTGAGATTTTCTGTAAGTCTAAGTAACACCTAAAAATCTCCCTGGGTATTCCAGAAAAAGTAAACTTTTTGACTGCTGAAATATTGAGAGTTCAGTAGAATTTTCACCAAAGTGCTTTTTTCCCTCTAAATAGTTTTTATAAATTGAAAATATTTTAAAATATTTTAGATGTAAAATGTTGCCTTTAAAGGTTTATCTTTCTCCTTAGAATTTATCACCATCTGATGTATTACATGTTTTAATATTATTTTTGTCTTTGCCCCTCTACACTTCCTGTAGGGAAGGAGTTGTTCTACCACTTATAGCAATGCCTGGTACATAGTAGGCAAAATTCAAAAAATCATTTGATGAACAAATATGTAATTTCTGAAACACATCTTTAAAAAATAGAGTAATACAATATAAATTACTACAACTGTCATAAAAGTAATTCTCTACCTGTGAAATTTCTCAAGCAAGCTGCAAAAGAAAGATGTAAATTGCAAATGAATATTCACAGGTTTATTACATGTATTCCTTTCATTTTGGACTCTGATCCACTAAGAAGTTAAGGAAAAAATTAGGTTTAAAATTATCTTGAGACAGAAAATAGAATAATGATTGTCAGGGGTTGGGCAGGGACAGCAGAGAGTTAATGTTTAAGAGGAACGGAAATTTGACTCCAGGATAATGAAAAAGTTCTGGAGATAGATGGTGGTAATAGTTGCACAACAACGTGAACATGTTTAATGTCACTGAGTTGTATATTTAAAGAAGGTTAAAATAGTAAACTTTATGTTAGGTTTATTTTGCCACAATAAAGGGCAGCCCTGGTGGCTCAGCGGTTTAGCGCCGCCTTCAGCCCAGGGCCTGACCCTGGAAACCCGGACCAAGTCCCAAGTCGGGCTCCCTGCATGGAGCCTACTTCTCCCTCTGCCTGTGTCTCTGCCTCCCCTTTCTCTCTCTGTGTCTCTCATAAATAAATAAATAAAATCTTAAAAAAAAATACATTAATTCAAATATAAACAATTCAGGTGTAATTTTAAAAAATCATTCTGCTCTAGGTCTGCATGGATTTTGCTTTTCATTTGGTTTTTATCTTTGCCTCCCTTCACTATCCTTTTTCCAAGGCAGTTTTATTTAGGATAAACTTAATTTCATTGCAAATTATCTATTGTCTTCTCAGCATTCTAGTCTATTGTGATTGTCAAAAGATGGTCTTCTAACCAGCAGCATCAGATTTATTTGTGAACTTGTTTAGAAATACAAACTCTTAAGCTCCTCCAAAGGCCTAGGGAGTTAGTAACCCTGGGGTAGGTACAGCAGTCGTGTTTTAACAAGCCCTGCAGGCACTTAGGTTTGAGAAACACTGGTCTATTGTGGTACGTGTAGCCTTAATTCCACCCCTATCTATGTAAGAGATTTTATGTCCAATGTCTATTCATGGAATGATAGAGGTCATAGTTTTTTTTAATATTATCTTTCCCCTCAAGCTAATACCTCTTTTCTCCAAGACATAACATATGAATTGGAGAAATGTAGAATTTAGAATAGACTATTACAAATAGGCAAATTTCTTGATTTGCCACACAGTCTGTGGGAAGACATCTCTGAGATGCACAGGAAGATCTTTCATCTTCTGAACACCTGTGAGATAAAGTTTCACTTGATAAAATCAATTTAAGTGCCAAAAAAATATAGGGAGCTGACTTAAAATAAGGCTTAGAGGTTATAAACTGAAAATATCTTACCTTTTGAGTTTTGGATGTGAATTATAATTTGAGAGATAAATGAAAGTACACAAATTACATATAAAAATTGCCAGTTTTTACCTTCCCTTCTCCCCAAATTACATATTGTTGATTTGTCTGCTCTATGCTACTTACCACATGTAACGGTGCACATCCCAAATTCTACTTCTTTGACTACTGTCTGATTTGAAGCTAAACATAAAATGCAAATATACATTATTCAATCATATGAAAACTTTTCAAATGGAAAAATTGTTACTTGAGGATGAAGGATACAAGCACTTATCATATGGGAAACAAAGTTTTTAAGTTTTATTAAATCAGAAAATCAGTGTCATTCCTAGTACATCTTCTAATATTGTTAAATCAAAAGAAGCCTAAACCTTCAAAGTACTTAAATAAGTTAGGAAATGTCTTGCAAAGGTCTATATTCAAACTTTTATATAAATTAAAAAAAATTTCATCAGCTCAACACATGGTGAGTTAAAGTTCTATAGGTCAGAAAAACAAAACAAAACAAAAGCCTGCTAATTGTAAGGCCCCAATTTTTTCTATTCTCTATTTTTCAAAAAAAATTTGAGTAGATCATTTCCATCCAAAAAGAAGTCTTTTTGCCATGTGTTCATTAAAAATATGTCGTAGAATGGTTCTATACCTTCTTAGGTTAAGATGATAAATTAGTCCCAAGAATTTATTTCAACACTTTATTTAGCAGGATAATTTAGGAATATACATGTATTTGAGTAAATATTGTTGATTTTAAATCATGCTACTCTGTTTCTAATTGTTTTGAAGTTTGGCATTATTTCTACCAGCTATAGTATATAACCAATTCTTCATAGCAGATAAGAACTGATGTTTCAATATAAAAAATATTACAAGAGGTGTTAGAATTTTTTAAAGCATTGTATCCTAAATTAACAATATTACATGGGAAAGTGCATAAGAATTGGAGTCCAAATTGCTCCTTCTACCACTAACTAGGTGAATTTGAGCAAATTACTTTAACTCTATCAGGCCTAGTTAACTCTTCTGCAAAAATTTGGAAAGGAGAACCTATTTTATTTTATTATGAATTAAATGAGAGCATCTCTAAGAATTAAATGAGATAATATATGTGAAAACAATCTGCAACTTTAGTGCTATAAAAGTGATACTTTTAGTGATACTTAAGATATCATAACTTCATTCACACTCAGTGCACATCAGATTTTTTTCCTATTTTGGTTACTGTAAGACAATATCTTCACAAAGACTGCTATTCTATACTTACAAGCACCAAATACAGTTCCCTGAATACATAGTATGCTCTTGATGTATATATGTTAAGTAAATCAATATTGACTTTGTTAAATTATTTGGAATATCATGATCAATTCTGAATTGATGCTTTTGCTTCAAATACTTGGATACTTTCTGCTGGCACATTGTGGGATATATATTAAAAGCCAAATCTAGAACATAGAAAACACAGGTAGGAGGATGAGTTAATACTTTCAGACTCTAAATATAGCTTCTTTTCAAAAACCATTCAAAAACTATTAGTCAATCAATCAGCCCTACTATTCACTACCTATGCTACTTTGGGAAAGTTATTTAAGCTCTTCTAACTTCAGAAAAAAAAAATGGATTTAATCAGATGATCTCTAAGGTCCCTTTTGACTGTGAGTGCCCATTAGGTCATTCAATGACTTCCATTTTTTATAGGGGTCCCCTAATGGTGGGTCAGAGAAACTACATGTATCCGGACTTCAGTGTGGTATTTGCCAAAATTTCCTGTCATATTCTTATGAGTAAAAAGGAAATATATGGTCTGAATGCTAGTAAGCTTTTATATGTAACTTGTTAAACAGTAATATCCAGTGTTGCTATTGGTTGGTGTCAATGTATAAGGAAAGAGTATCATAGGACTCTGTCCTGTTTAATATTTTTATTAATGACCTGGAAATATTGGTATTATCATGCTAAGTCCAGAGGTTCCGAAAAACTAGGAAGGATAACAAATAAGTTTGAAGATAAATCTGGCTCTAAAAAAATGCCAGGATGGAATACTAGGCAAGTCTACCAAAATGAAGCCTTAGAGAAATGTCTTACACATGGAGCTGAAAAGTAATTCTCCTCAAAATATGGATAGTCTTAATTTGACAGAACAAGTGAAAATGAGTGGAGATTTCAATAGTAAGTTCAATAGGAGTCAAGACTGTTGAGGCCTCCCTAAAAATCTATTCAGTTTTAGATTTTACTGATAAAAGCACGGCCATAATGATGCAGATAATGATCACACTCGTTTTTTGTTCTGGTCAGATCCTGGAGTGTTCTCTTGAATTCTGGACAGCACAATTTAACTGTTGGTATATACCATCAGAGCCCAATTTTAATTTTTGAATTTCTTGAGAATTGATATAGAAGGTCGATATTTCATAATTTTTATTTTTTCTTAGAGGTGTTCCAAAGCAAAAGAGAAAATAGTTATATTTATAAAGGATAAAACTTATTTTAGAGAATGAAATGCATTCTATTTTGCAATTATTATGTAGATCTATTGTTGGTCCCTTTTATAAATGTATGGGTATAACTATAAATCTAAGGGTCTAAGTATACCTTCAGGTTTATCAAAAGTTTAACAGTGTATAAAAGGTATGGGGGGTTAAGAGTTATTAATATAAATCTAACATATTTTAGTAATTTTTCCTAAGTTTTTAAGCGTTTTGTTATTTCATCATTCATAATGCTGGATTTTATTATTTCTGATTGATTATTCCCAATTATGTCTCTTTTAAAAAAAAGACTAAGATAATAAAATGGAAGAATGTTTGGAATTGCTTAGAAGGATGATGTAATTGCAAAATAAATCATAGCTATTATATCATCCTTTGTTTCCTTATTTTTTGCCTGAAGTATATTGCATCATCTTTCAGGAAGCTATAAAAGAACTCTAGAAGCACCTTTCTGGTAGTCTATTTTTAGCTTTCATTGAACACTGCTGAGGTTTTTAAATTTTTCTTTCTTTTCTTTTTTCTTTTCTTTTCTTCTTTCTTTCTTTCTTCTTTCCTTTCCTTTCCTTTCCTTTCTTCTTTCTTTTCTTCCTTCTTTCCTTCCTTCCTTTGCCCATAAAGGTAAAGAGAAAACTGACAGAGAAAAACACTTCACAAATGTTGGATGAATCAGAAGATGAACATAGACAGCAGCACCTTAGATGCTAATGCTGATGGTGAAACTGACTGCATAAGCAAAATGAGTGAGAAATGATAACTTAGATGAATACCCTAGATGAATTTTCTCTAACTCAAAAATCAATGAATTCATATTACATTTCTAAGTATGAAAAGGATATATGGTATTCTCATCCAGTTAGTCTTTCAATAGGAAGGACTTAATCCTGAAATGTTTTATGAACAGAAGCCAGACCACACTGTTTTGCTAAAAGGATATGGACAATATTCTTTCATTTTTAAAGCTGTTTATCCACCAAAATTTACTTGATAACATTTGTAAATGGACAGATCGTGATGGCAGGTATATATACAAAAGTGACTAAAAAGAAAATAGATGATTTAGAAATGAATAAAATTCATTGGACTAATCATTCTTATTGGCGTTTATAAACCTAAAATGAAAATATTTTGCAATTATGGAGCAAAGAACATGGTGGTCTTCTCATCAACAAAATATGTGGCTTCATAGTTTTCAAAAGTATTGTGTTTTGACAATGCACAAATTAATAAACCAGAATCTATTAGAGATTTGTCTGAAATCTGGAATCAGCACTTGTAAGATGAATATATTCCAGACTCATGCATAACAGTAAATGAGCATCTAGTTGCATTCAAAGTATCCTGCCCGTTTATATTAACATCTTCAAAACCAAGAAATATGGAATAAAAGTTTGGAGTTTTCCATATTTATATTCTTATTAAAATTTCAAATTAGTTGTTTTCATTAACCCTTTATTTTTACTTTTGTAAATTTCTTGTAAAATTCCTTAAAAGTAAAATTTTTTTAAAGTCCACTGGATAGCAAATAATGATGACTATTTTTATTGGTCATTGAGGGTTAAAAGGAGCTTTGTCAAATTTTAATAATGGCTCTGGAAATTTTCTAATCTTCAACACCTCCAATTATTTACACTTCTGGATTCTCACTCTCCCCAGGAGAAGCAACTATGCACGAAATCATACATATAAAATTTCAAAAGGTACACAGACTCCCAAAGTTTACAGATGAGAGAATGAGAGAAAAATAACTTGCCTGCATTTTAATTTGTACCTAAGGCATTGTAACTTCATTGCTTGGGTATAGCTTAAACCCTACTTAGCATTTCACAGGTAGAACTATCCCTTGAACAGTTTAATACTAAAACTGTTAATTCAATTATTTTTAAAACTGGAGTGAAGCAACAGCTATCATGCTTTAGATAAGGTTTTCTTGTCTAGTCTCTCTCACATTTGCAAGGTCAAGGACCTCTCCCAGCTCCCTGTAATGTAATATTATGAAGGCGATGCAAACTCCCATCCCATCAACAACCTCCAATAGTCCATTTCTTTCCATCACTGCGGGTCACAATCTGTTATCAGAAAATAAACAGAAAGGCTGATAAATACAGCACCTATTCTATATGTATAGGAGACAGGAGACTGCCAAGGATCTTAAAGAATAGTAAAAGAATCTCCGCTGGGTCATTTATAGAGAAAGGGGATCATTTCTCCTTTAAATGGCTGCAAACCAGCAATTTACCTGGCCTTCTACCTACCAGCAGCATGTGAGTTACTAACCAATACAACATGTATAACAGCTTGTCAAGTTTTATTGCTTAATAAGCCAGCAGAACAAGGTAAATTTATGAACCAAGCACAGGTTCATTTTCCCTTCTATTATCAAACAAAACCACTAGTTGGATCCCTTGATAGGTGTTTTCTACTGCCATCATTCCTTTGTGTATGGAAGTTGAAGGTGCAAATATTACACCACCATGCTACAGAGGTGCTCAAGGATAGAGCTGTAGGAAGCTGACATGGGACTTCTGGGCAGTTTTGTCAGCATTTTGGTCTAAGATGTGTCACAGTGAGGGGAATTCTTTATTCCACCGAGTTCCAACCTAAACAGCAGACGTGGAAAGGAGTAAGATCTCAAGCAATTTGGGACTTAAAAAAAAAAAAAAAACTACAATGGGAAAGAAAAACATGTAACTACCAAGAATCAAAATAATTCCCATTGGATGTACTAAAAAAAAATCACTCTTCTCACTAGCTTTTAAAAAATATTTGAGTATTTTTCATTTTAAGTCTGTGTTATAAGACATATGTGGAATTGAAGAAACGAAACTATGAACGTATGGGAAGGAGGAAAGAAAACAATGAAAGAGGGAAACAAGCCCTGTCAGGCTCCTGTTGGCGAATGGCTGGGTGGACTAAGCTATGAACCAAGGAGGGTACTACTTGTGATGAGCACTGGGGTTGTATGTATGTGAGGAATCACTGAATTCTACTCAAGAAATCAATGTTAAAACTGTATGTCCCCTAACTAAAATGTAAACTAAAAAAATAAATGTGGGTTAACATAATAATAATAACAATTCCCATTGGTGAGAGGCTACTCCCCAACTCCTATCCCTTAAAAAAAAAAAAAAAAAGTGGGAGGGAGGGCATCTTTTTCCTTATCCAGAGCAATATTTAGTAGTAATCCTGTAACGACTTCTATGTACGTGCTCATTTATGTTTCTTGGGGCGCCTTGGAGAACTAGCACATTCTCTTCAAGGCCACCGGGCTTATGAAGAAAGGGTAAGTTCAAGGCTGTCTGCAAGAGAGCTCTACCGACGTTAACAGGGGTAACAGTTCCCACGGTCCTAGGACAGAGGGCAGGGCTTGGCCCTCGACTGTCCCCGTCAAGGGGCCTCCCGCCCTCACCATCCTCCTCAGTCGCAGACTGGGCTTCGTTCTCCGCCTCGCTCTCGCTCTCGCTCTCGCTCTCGCTCTCGGCCTCCTCCTCGCCCTCGCTCTCGCCCTCGTGGACCAGGCCAGGACCCTGGGCGGCGGTGACGTTCGTCCCACACGCGGAGTGGAGGCCCGCCAGGAGCAGCCAGCCGACCGTCAGCAGCAGCCTGTGGGAGCAGCCCGCGCCCCCGGGGCTCATGGTTCTCGGCCCCGACGGCCGACCGCGGCGCAGCAGCAGCCGCCCGCTCCTGACGAGAGGTGCGGCGAAGAGCGGAGCCCCCGGCCTCCGAACCCCGGAGCCGCGCCCAGGGTAACCATTGAGGCGTCACGGCTCGTCACCGGCGAGCGGAAGGCCCCCCGGGCTCCCAGCGCTGTTGGAACGCGCGTGGGGCCGCCTGTCGCGCTTCGTCCGGCGCTTCCGACGGCGCGGCTCGCTTTCCGGCCTTGCAGGTGTGCAAGCGGCGCCGCGGGCTACGCGCGGTCCCGCCGTTGCTAAGCAACCCAGAGCCGCCGCCGCCGCCGCCTCCGCCTCCTCCGCCGGCCTCGCGCCCTCAGCCTTCTCCCTTCCGAAAGGCCTTCGTCCTTCCTACGTTCACTCCTCTGCAAACCGTATCCCTAGACCCCGACGCACTCACTCATCATGTGACTTGGTTTCAAATTCCTCACACGGATTATCCAACTCAGCATGCATCAAAAAGGGTCTGTCGCAGCCTTATTAAGCATGGTGCCCCCCAGACTACATCCATTGGCAGAGGATACAGGAACGCACTTTCTTTCTTTCCTGGATCTGAATCTTTTGTTAATGATACACTTGGGTGTGTATTTAGGTTTTAAGACCAAGTCCGTGTGGGGCTTCTTTGTGCTAGATTGGGGGTGGGGAGAGAGGAAGACGGAAGGGTGCAACTTGTTGTCAAGCTTTCTCTACTCCATTCCATGTTTCGTAGCTGATGTTTTTGGAACCAAACCTAAAATGTAACCTTTGTCCCCATTAATTACTGTCTTCCGGCATCCCAGGTGGCTCAGGGGTTTAGCTCCGCCTTCAGCACAGGGTGTGATCCTGGAGACGGTGGATCGAGTCCCACCTCGGGCTCCCTGCATGGAGCCTGCTTCTCCCTCTGTCTCTCTCTCTGTGTCTCTCATGAATAAATAAATAAAATCTTAAAAAAAAAAAAAAAGATTACTGTCTTCTTACTTTGCGCCTATTTTTTAAGCCTCATTGAGATTTTTAAGATTCTGATTCTCTTGTCTTATCATATTGGATATTTCACCCAAGTTTGATTTGGAAAATATGTCTTTCAGGTCATTAACAAAAATGTTTAAAAAGGGCAAAAGGCCTTTTGTTGAATAAAGAATAAAACCGTAAGATGCCACTTTCTGACAATAATCCATTAATCCACACATTGATTTAACCCAAGAATCGATTCTTCTACCAAAAAGAAATCCTGTCTTTTGCTAAGGTGAATCAGGCTAGAAGCAAGAATACCTTGGCACTGACGCTTGAACCAGAACATTTTAAAGATAAATGTAATTTCCCCTGCCCTCTTAATGGTATTCAGTATCAATATGCCCGATTATATAGAAAGAAGTGAAATCCCATGAAGTTCCTTCCATTGGTGGTGTTAATTTCAACAAATCTGCTTTAATTAATTCAGGCTTCTTCTTTAGGACTATAAACAGACTTTTTGAGTCAGAAGTTTAGAAATCATATAACACTCAGTCCCCTCATTTTTAAGAACTGGCTCTCCAGTAATTGACCCAGGTAAGATCATCCAGCAAATTATTTGTAACAGAGGCTCTCACAACCGCATCTTCTGAATGCTCATTCTGTGCTTAGTGACTCATATAATTTAAAGTTAACAATGAAGAAGCATTCAGTGGGGGTAATTGAGAGTCAAGAGTTCAAGCACTAAAAACAAATTACGGTTGAAAATTTTTGGCCTGTTATTCCAAGTTCAATTAGATCTAATAGCAACAATGTGGTAGTAAGAGAGATAGATTTATATGTGAGACTTGAAACAGAACTCATTGGGCTATGTTTCTACATGATATTATCCTATACTTTTGAGGTTTAATGTCAATTCTTATGGCACGTGGGCTGAAGAATAACCTACTGCAAAGTGAACTTAAGGCATAAACTCTGGCTTTTGGAACATATGTATATTCAGCCAAGGCAGACTAACAGATAAGTAACTGAGAAAGATGTTAGGAGGGTCTTTAGAGCCATTTATTTATAACATAAGTAGATTACTTAAAACAAAAGCAGAAATTTTATTTGAATTTCAAAGTCTTCTAGTTTGTTTTTTTTTTAAAGATTTTTATTTATTTATGAGACACACACACACAGAGAGAGAGAGAGAGAGAGAGAGAGAGAGAGGCAGAGACACAGGCAGAAGGAGAAGCAGGCTCCATTCAGGGAGCCCAATGTGGGACTGGATCCCAGGTCTCCAGGATCAGGCCCTGGCCTGAAGGCGGTGCCAAACCACTGAGCCACTCAGACTGCCCAAAGTCTTCTAGTTTTAAAGTAAGTAAAAGATAAGAACTGTTAAAAATGATCAGTATTAAAGTTTGAATTGGAATTGGTAAGGAGTCTCTGGTAATATTTTATATTAACTAAAAATACCATAAAATACTATACTGCCTGACAAGATTAGGAGGGAAATTAAAATGGGAAATTTAGGAATGATCTTGAGATACAAAATCCTCACGTCATGGTCTAATTAATAAATCAAAATTTTTCCTTTTTAAATACTGCAAAAAATTTCCTTTTTAAATACTGCAAAAAAATGTTTCAAATATAAACTTTAAAAAAATATCTACGAAGGGTTGCAGAAAGGGAGGTGGGGGGGATAAGGTAACTGGGTGATAGGCATTAAGGACAGCACATGATGAGGTGAGCTCTGGGTGTTATACTATATGTTGGCAAATTGAATTTAAGTAAAATTTAAAAAAAAAGAAAAAGAAAAAGAAGATCTATAGTGGGAGTGCCTGGGTGGTTTGGTCCGCTAAAGGTCTGACTCTTGTTTCTGTTCAGGTCATGATCTCAGGGCCATGTGATTAAGCCCATGTCCGGTTCCACACTGGGTGTGGAGCTTAAGATTCTCTCTCTTCTCCCTCTGCCCCACTCCTCTGTGCAATCTCTCTCTTATAAAAAAAAAAAAAGAAAAGAAAAAAGAAAAAGAAGAAGAAGAAGATCTGTAGTATTTCCCAGGCAATATTGTTGAGTGCTTCAAAAGTCAATTTAGAACACATATTTTTCTGAAAATACTCTTTGGGCAAAGGAAGTCCCATAAACTCTAAGCTATGTAATATAACTTAAGGAAAAATTGATGACGAAATAAACAGCTTCAAAGACAATCTAAATGGAAATTAAAGGTCTCAAAGACAAGCTGTGAGACTTGACTCTGAAACAAAGAATGTTAAAATAGTATCTGTAATAGCAACAATACAAATCACTTATAAAATATTGTGAATATTGTTATTCATCTAAGTTATAAGAAAAAGTATAATACCTGTCCTCAACAAACTTACACTATCTCCAGTTGAAGCCATAAATAAGTGAAAGGTAAATAAATATTAAGGACACACTATTGAGAGGGGTTGACCCTATTCCAACCTTTGGATACCAAGCACCAGGAATTACATCCTCAATCTTCTGACCCACTCCACTTTAGTTAACTCAGCTCCTCTCGCTCTGCCTGGCTTTAAACATCTCTACCTGTAGCTCTAGTTTCCAAGAAGCAGAGGTTGTGCCAGTCTTCTGTGATTCCTCTTCCCCACTCCACCCAAACATATCTTGTCTCTCTTGGTCTGACTTTACCTTGAACTTCCTTTGGTGAGGACACTTGCCTACTTAGAATGGTAAAATTCCTTTATCTGATCTCCACTCCTATCTACCCTAGAGGCCCTCCATGCTCTGAAAAGAAACATCAATTTGAAGGTTGATGATATAAACACAATATAACAAAGGCCTAAGTAAAGGATCACCATAAAAACGGAAAAAAAAGAAATGAACGGGATTACAAAGGATTAACAAAATGGAGTGACTAGTTGCCTAAAAGAAATCAGGGAGAGGAGCCAAGGAAAGGGAATTAGGAAAATCAGCAGATGTTTTACTTAGACAGGTAAAGTTGGAGATCAAAAGATTGAGGTTGGGATCCCTGGGTGGTGCAGCGGTTTGGCGCCTGCCTTTGGCCCAGGGCGCGATCCTGGAGACCCGGGATCAAATCCCACGTCAGGCTCCCGGTGCATGGAGCCTGCTTCTCCCTCTGCCTGTGTCTCTGCCTCTCTCTCTTTCTCTCTCTGTGACTATCATAAATAAATAAAAATTAAAAAAAAATTAAAAAAAAAAAGATTGAGGTTAAAGTTAAGTTGCAAACATCAAAGGAAGTCAAGTGGAAATGTCTAGTGGGCAACTTGAGATGACTGTGAGCACGCATGCACACACACAACCAGAAGATAAAAACCACTGCCAGTAAAAAGATGGGCATGAAAAATACATATGTACTTCCAGTTAATATAACATTCTAAGTACCACTGTAAAATTACATTACTTTACAAAGTTACTAATATTACTGTATTTATGAAAATAGGTGTCTGGGAGATAAATTTATTTTGGTGTTAATATGCTTGAATTGGTTAAAAAAAAAATCCCCATAATAATCCCCCAGAGAGAAGGCCCTCAAACCATTTTAATCCTATTTGTCCTTTTTAAAAGAAAATAATTTTTTCTTTTCCTGAAGCAAGTTCCTAAGAGCAGAACTTCTCTATCTTTTTGTTTGGCACCCTTACCCCTGTTGTGACCTCATTCTCTGTCCATCAGTTAAAACTGTATTGCTACACAGTGGGGGAATTTTGTGGTAGAAATTCTAGGAAGCCCCCTGGATTTTTGTCACATCATCTCAAACTATCACCTGTTATCTTAATAGCTTTGTGCTCTTATTCCAGCCTCAGCCTCTCCCACTTCTTTATTTTCTCCTCTAATGCAGCTGCCCACAAAAGGCCCTTCTTTATTAAAGGCCTTCTTAAAGCAATAGCAATTTACAAGGTGTCAGGGAAAAAGGAGTACCCAAAAGATATTCTTTCTATATTTTAATAGCAAGGGTTAAAAAGGTCATTGAAAATTAAATCATAGTCTAGAGAAATATGGTAGTATTTTGTGAAAGGTAGGAAGTGTTGCATTGTGAGTAAGTCTTGATAGAA